AGCGCCTATGGTTTCCAAACTTCCGGATTTGTTCTAACTTCGCAAATATTATTACTTATGGAAGACAAATCCCATGACGCCTAATAAATTAACTACAATATTAAGGCAATTATTAAGCAAAATTTTATTATGTAAAAAAGTTAAACTCTAGTTGAATAAAAATTTAATAAATTACATATATTGTGCTACATTTTAAAAACTTTGTAACCTGAACATGGTCACCTGTTTAAAATAAATTTTTGATACATTTTAAAAGTAGGCCTTAATACGCATTAAAACCTCTAAATAAAGAATCAACTTCACTAAAGAGTAAAAAAAGTGAAAGGCAGAGGCTTACTACTTATTTTAATAAACTTTTAAACATTCTCTTTTACACACTATATATTATGTATCATTTAAAACAATTAATATTGTTTATATGCAATTTAAAATATTATATATACTAACTTTCACATATTTTCAATTAATTTTTGTAGTTAGTACATAAACATTATGTTACTAATAATACTATAATCTTACTAATATTATAAGCAAATGTTTGGATGGTTCAATGGATGTTTGTTTAAAGGTATCTCCAGAATGGCTGTATGGATCTCACTGAAATTTGGTATAGATGTAGAGCATAGTATAGAAGAACACATAGGCTGCTAATTAATTATTTTTTCAATTCCGCGCGGATGGAATTCCAGGCGACAGCTCGTTAATTATATAAGGAAGTGTAGGAGGATGTATCAATTACTATTGTAATAAGTAACTTAAGTTATTTCTATGAATAGAACTAGCTAAAAAGTATAATATTACAATTATCATTGAATCTCAACCTCTATGCAAGTATCACATGTACAAAGATATGAGAAATACTAACTATGGGTTTCTAAGGCCAAAATCTCTATATTAAACATATTGTTTCATCCCTGTCATTATCTTTGACAAAAATATGTTTTAAAGGAAGATTTTGGTCTCAGAAATTCATGGTAAATAATAAAGAGGTATTGCAAAGGTTTTTGTGATTAAATCAATGAAAAGTGAAGATAACAGCTACATTAAATAAAAGATGCATTTTACATATTATATACAATCTTTTATAGGATCTAAACAAGTCCATTACACGGAAAAAGATATATTAAAGTCTTTTCCCGTTTTGAACATTGGAAAATTGTACATAAAACATTGATTGCTGTCCATTTATAATCTAATTTGTTTTCAAGCAGAATGAATATGCCATTACCCATTGATAACCAATTTGACAATCAAACTAATGAACTTTAAAAAAGATAATGTTAATTACCCATTAATTTTCACCATATCAGTGTATTTGATATAGTGAAAAAACTTACCTGCTGTTGGGAGAGTTTGTTTCGTACTAGACAAATGTCTTTCCAAGTGCGCAGGCCCTTCAGCTCACAACCAGGCGACACCACGTCTGTGCAGTTGAGGTCAGCATCCAACGGCATCACAATGAATAGTTACACCACCTGATGCAACATGAATTATGTTAATCAAAACGAATACTTACATAATTAGCAAAATTCATCATGTACATACAAATGCTACTTTACGTGGAGAAATTGTGTGTGTGTCTTTAACATGAGTGTATGTATTATGTATAAGGTTTAGAAAATTATAAAAAAATTAATAACAAAGATAAATATCTATTAGAACTTAATTTTGAAAAAAATATTTGAAAAAAGATGTTAATCTATTCTTAATGCTCTTACTCTTTAGTGATTGGTTTAAATTACTCACAAAATCAGTTTTTTTTTGCAAAGTATTAATCTAATATTTTATATTTATTAAACTTTTAATTAATTTAATGTAAAATGTTAAATGCATTATTTTTTATATGATATGTTTGTGGCAAATTCTGATAGTTAATACCCATCATTTACACAAAAAACCTTTGCAAAGAAAATTTATTAAATTAAAATCATTTAAATTTAAATTTAGGTCAGTTACAATACAAACATGATTGCTATCTTGTACAACCTCAATAGAGAAGACAACACAAAGATTGTAAAGAGGTAAACATTCAAAATCCAAAAATATCTTTATATTGTTTCCTTTGGCATCAAATATAAAGCAATGTACATAAAGGAACAAAAAGCCACTTCATTATTTACACATTAGTAGCACAATCAAACAATTGCTTTGTTACCATTTCAGGCACTTTGTATTGAGAACAAAGATGCAATTGTCATATGACCATATCAAACCACTGCACATCATATAAATTTATTATATTTGTGAGCTAAAATATGAATTAATTTCTTAAAGTTTTTGCTATTTAAAGTTTTTGTAAATCTTATATGATTCATACATAATTTCAACTACAGTTGAAATTTTACGCAAATGAAAAAATATATATATTATTTCTCTTACAAAGTAATCAAAATTGCAACTTAGCTTTTACTTATAATTTTTTGGTTATGATGTTAAATATATAGCTAGTGTGGCAAAGAATATAGGACTAAAAACTAAGCAGATTAATTGTAATAAATTATGTTCATTCATGACTCTATATTGAGATTCATCATTTAAGATTAAAAATTAATCAAGTGGATTAAAGAAAAGTTACATATTTTATAGGACATAATTCTTTTTGTGTTGATTGCAATATTTGCTTATGGTATCTGCACCCAACTCCCATAGACAAAATAACATTTGATTAAACTGATAGAAGAATCAAAATAAGTTGAAATGTATGGAAAATATTAAACAAGTTTTTGTTAGTATCATACAATTTTGTTTAGGGAAATTGTTTATATAAATATGTATTAGTATGAATATACTATAATATATTTACATAATTACAATTAAATAGATTTTTTTTTAATTAGAAGTATATTAATTCTGTGAACCCATGATAATGAAATTTATTTCAATTTAGTGTTTATTATTTAGTAACAGGTGTACGACAAAATTGAAATTAATGTGGGTAGTTAATTATATTTATTACTTAAGAAAACATACAAATTTCTTATGTGAATTTAATGTTTTACCTTAAAGCTTTTCGGGAATTAAAACTGTTATGGATACATATTATTGTATAAAAACAATCACAATTCAGAGCAAATCTCTTGAACAGCATATTAGCCATAGAATTTTGTAAGAATTTACAAAATTCTTTTAACAGTAACTATGCCAAGACTATGTTGAAATAAAGGCAAAGAAATAAGTTCTCACATTTGTTACTTCCTGTTTTTTTAATTAACAGAAAATAAAAAATATTTTGTAGTAACATTTTTTGAGGTTATACCAAAAAAAAAGTACAAATGTCTTAAATATATTTGGCTGTTAGTTTTTTATACCTTAACTACAAAGAAAAACCAATAAAAAAAGTTTCAGAAAGTTTTAGTCCCACGTTCGTAACAAGCAATAACGTAATTTCTAAACTATTGTGAAATTTACTGTAAAATGTTATGTGTAATTAATTAAAATATAATGAACAATTGTTAGCAAGCAAGTGCAACATGGCTCTAATGAGATGAATATACGAGGATAGTGTCGGGTCTTATGAGCAGAGGTATTAATCGATGTAAAGTGTATAGAACTAGTGACTAAGAGCTAAAGTACATTTACAACAAATAATGCCAAAATTTACATGAATCGCTCCTTCGGTGCAATCCGTTTGTAGATTGCTGCAGTAATGTTAAATAGAAACAAAGAAAATATTGAAGAACTTCGATAATTGGCATTCACGAAGAAAATGGCGTCATATCACTAGTCACGGAACAAGGTACAATTTCGTCATACGAAAGCACACATCACAAACACAACTAAACACCATCGAAAAACAAAGACATGCTATTAAATGATCTTTTCTTGAGAAATTACTCACTTAGAATAAGAATTCCAAAGAAAATCATCCAAAAACTTAAAGGACTGATGACAAGGCACTCCACTCACCGTTTGCAAAACCCAGACTACGAATCACGTGACCAGCTAAAGTAGTGTTACCCTCTTCTCATTTCGATTTCGATTCGTGAAAAACAAGCTTCCGATACTTTTCAAATCATATTCGAATTTTTTGTTGTGCTCATTTAAAATAAGTAAATAACGTTACCGTTGGTTTCTTTATTGAATTTTTTTTAGAGTTTGACGACGGCTATTCACCTCAGTTTTATCCTTATATGTCACTGGTACAGGTGATGGAAACATTAAGAAATATGTAAATGGTAGCAAGGTATGAGCATATCATTAGGGAACTTTCAATATGAACTTGGAATAGAATACTATTTAAGGGTAATTAAAACGGTTTTGTCTCTTGCGGAAATAACGAAGGATAAAGATATGCCAATGAAAGGAAAAAATAAAGTATTTCAAATGTGTATTATGCCATATCTACAATATGCATGCCAGACATGAGCGTTAACAAAAGTACAGGAAAGTAAATTAAAAGTTTGTCAAAATACTCCTTGTATTTTAGGTTTTAAAAGAACAGATAGAGTGAAATTGCGAGAAATAAAAACGATAACAAAGTTTAAAAATGCACACACAGTATAGAGGCAACTAAAATGCCACTGGACGGGACACATGCTAAGAGGAAACAAAGAAAAATGGAATAAGTTAGTAACGGATTGGTATCTAAGAGATAGCAAAAGAAATAGAGACAGTCAAACCAAAATAGACAGGAAATCTTTAGAGGAGGCTTTTGTAAATCGACATGAATATGTTGTATATATTTTTTTCATAGATTGCTAACAAGTTGATTTGACTCCTAAGAGTCCACTTATTACATTTTTTTAAATGACAATCGTAGTGGTTTTTTTAAACGACAAAAAACTTTTTAACAGAGCAGACACATAAACCAGAGATCAAACTTTCGCTGTGTACTTATACTGTTCAATTTATCGAATACTCACTTCTATTTATTTTCTTTTTTTCCTAGAAATCGATTTTTATAATGTTACCCTATTTGCTAATATTATGCACTTGTGCACTATGATTGTCAAATGTCACTTCCATATAATACGTCACTGTTCTAAGTTCTAACCTCTATAAAGTCCTAAAGTTAAGTTTTAATTTCAAAACTTAACTGAAAAGTGAATTTTGCTTTTTTAAATATTTTTTTAAGTTATATTAGGAGTAACAAGGCTTATCATGCCGACTATATCAGTAAAACGGGATAGTTTATTCAAAGCTCTTGGGCAAACTTACAGTAAGTTTGGTTTCTTAATTTTATTTGAATTTACATTAGTCTGGAAAACATTTTTTTTAAACAAAAAGGAACATCTGCCTTCATTTTTCATGCATCCAAATGTATATGTAAGCTGTAGTTTGAAACATTTAATCCTTTGACTTACTCAGTCTTGTATTAGAATAGAATTTTTTTTTATGTCTTAAAGTAGTATACTAAAATTTTTCAATACGTTAATTATATATCCCATTTCCTTTTTCAGCTGATGAGGAATTTGAACAGCTATGTTTTGAATTTGGATTGGAATTAGATGAAGTTGTAAGTTATTGACATTTTTATCATGTTTTAGTGAGATTGCAAAAGCTTATGTTGTATTAATAGACCAATTGAAGACTACAGTGCCAAAGAAAGAATATAACTTATGTTACCATTTTCAGACAACAGAAAAGCAGATGTTGTTAAAAGAGCAAGGAGATCAAGCTGCTGTGGGTGTCTCTGAAGATATTCTGTACCGTATTGACATCCCCGCCAATAGATATGACTTGTTATGTCTGGAAGGATTAGTCAATGGTATTCTAGTCTTCCAAGGAAAGTATGTTCAATTAAACTTTTTGTATCTTACTCATGACAGTGGTCACATTTTCTTTAAATATTAAGTAGGTACTCCTTAGTTTAGGTTCTCTATAAGAAATTAACACAAAAAAAATATAATATATAATTTAATTATTAATTTAATAATATAAATTTATAATAAAAAAAAATTACATATATTCCAATTATGAAATAGTTATTTCTTGTTAATTTCAGAAAATCTCCACCGCAATATAAGTTCAGGAAATATGAAGACTGTTATTCATTGCATTTGACACCTTCAACAGCAGAAATAAGACCGTACGCTGTGGCCGCAATCCTCAGAGGTATTACATTTACGAAGGAAAGTTATGATAGCTTCATAGATTTGCAGGTAATTTCTAACATTTTTTTTACATGTAAAAGAACAAGTAAAAATATATTATTTTATCCTATATTTTATGGTAATACTTCAATTGACAGAAACAATTATATTTGATTTAAAGGAATACAAAACCACGGACACTTTAAAAAATGGGTGTTTTAATAAACTAAAAAAATATACAGTCAATCTTGGATAAGAGAGAAACCTCTATATGCCAGAGTTATTGCCTTGTCCGGACATCCATAAGCAAGAAAAATGTCGCGGTCCCTTAGATTATTACTTATCCAGGTTCAACTGTTTTACATATTTACACAGAGTAAAATATATTAATAGTTAAATTAGTTAAGTAAAAAAAATAGCCATAATTATAAAAATTGTATTCAATCATCTTATATAATTCCAGGATAAATTACATCAAAACATTTGTCGTAAGAGAACTTTAGTGGCGATTGGGACCCATGATCTGGACACCATTCAGGGACCTTTCGTATATGATGCGTTACCACCCAGTCAAATCAAATTCAAAGCTCTTAATCAACAGAAAGAAACAACAGCAACAGAACTTATGGAGTTGTATTCTGTAGGTTGTTTTTTTTTTATTGAATTCTTACCATTATTTAAGAAAACATAGAATGTGTTCGGTGCCATTGACTATGTCACCTTCATCCGAAAATTAGTAGTAGCATGAAATATTTTAATAATAATCTTATAGTCAAAGACCGATCTTATTTTTTTACTATTAAAAAGGTCCTAAATAGTAGCCTTATTGTTTTTCCATGCTGTGTTCTACATCTATGCAAAAATTCAGCAAAATCCGTTTAGCTGTTCTATAGATATGTATAAGCAATATATCAATACCTCCTTCTAAACTTTAGCTTTTATAATATTAGTATGATATAAGAAATATACATTTAAAACTTTATACACATGTATGTATGAAAATATTAAAATTTAAATGTTTACAGAGTCATCCTCAACTGAAGCAATACTTAGGAATTATAAAGGATAGTGCTGTCTACCCAATAATCAAAGACAAGAATGGTGTTGTATTGTCTATGCCACCGATCATCAACAGTGACCATTCAAAGATAACTTTGGACACCAAAAATGTTTTTATTGAGTGCACAGCTACTGATCTCACAAAGGTAAATTTAATTTATTTATTATATTGGTATTATTTGTAATAAAATCAAATTAACCTCTGTTTTGATCTTGAAATTATTTTAGAGGGTAAATTACTATTTTATGATTTAACTGTTGAAGTCAATATTCATAAATTTAAAGATGACTCCTATTTGGTATTAGTACTACAAAACATGTTGATTTTAATTTAACCTATATAAATATTGTAATTGTAATCAAAAATCATCTACAGTTTAGATAGCGATTAAATTTTTACTTTATTACTCCAAAAAGTATAGATAGACACTGTTTAGTTATAGATGTGTGTAACCCTTCGAACGCCGGTGAGGGATATTTTCATATTGATTATATATTGATCAACAATGCAATTTCGCAAACCTACACAATAATAATCTTTTAATAGCAATAATTTTGCAAAATTTGCGCTGGGCGTTATACGGTACAAAAAGGTTATATTTATATAGTAAGGTCCTTATAGTCTATTTCATGTGAAGACAAAGTAATCTAAATAATTTGGATGAATGTCATTAGTATAATATTGAATTGTTGTAATGTTTTCCCCAGGCTATAGTAGTACTGGATACAATAGTGTGCATGTTCTCCGGGTACTGCAGCTCGCAGTATGAGGTGCAGCAATGCAAGGTGTATGCACCCGATGGCACCTACCAGCTGTACCCCAAGCTGGAGTACAGGGAGGAGGTCATAAACGTTGACACCGCTAACCGATATATTGGTATCAAGTAAGTAAACTTACAGAAATATAATATTATATAATATTTAGAATAAAAACTGTTGTAATTTTTAAATTTTTGGGAAGGCACTCTCAATCGAGTCGATCAGATAAAAATAAATTGCGTGTTAAGAATGATGTCAACTTAAATCTTTATAAATGCGAAAGTTTAAATGGATGGATCGACGTTTGTTAGATGGTATCTCCAGCAAGACTCAATGGATCTTGATGGAACTTAGCATAGATGTAGAACATAATCTGGAAGACCACGTAGCCTTCTTATTAAGTATTTTCTTAATTCCACGCGGACGGAGTCTCGGGCGACAGCTATATACATAAATCATTCTTATAATGATGTCCATTTACATAGAATTGTGCCTCTATTTGCAGTGAGGAGGGGTCCAGCCTGGCCGGGCTGCTGTCGCGCATGTGTCTGCGCTCGTCAGTGTCGCAGTGCGAGCAGCGCGTGCGCGTGAGCGTGCCGCCCACACGACATGACGTCATACACGCCTGCGATCTATATGAGGACATTGCTATCGCTTACGGGTAAGGAACACTGGGTGACATTTTTGCGGAGCCAATTTTTTGGTGTCAGAGATAATCTTCCAAAGTTAAGGACATCTTAAGGGGCGCTTCATGGTCCCTTATGCCCGGCGCCCTGGGCGGTCGGTCCACCTCGCCCTACCCTAACGCCACTACTGGGCCGGCTACTACTCCCTTCCCATCCTTGCCTTATAAGAAAGGGTGGGAAAGGAAAGAGGACTAAAGTTAAGTCATTCCACTTGTCGCCTGTTGTCTGTGTGGTCGTGGTATTGCACCGGGCGAGCCGAAATTCGTGTGAAGATGTTAAATCAGGCACCACCACTGTTACAACTGTTTTTATTGTTTTTTTTTATTAATGTTTTCAGTTACAACCGCATAGAGCGTCGCGAGGCTGCAGTGGCAACTTGTGGTCGTCAGCAGCCTC